GACATTCCCCGCTGCTTTCACCAACGATAAAGGCACTGCACACCGTTCTCCTCCTCCCTCCCTCAAGCATGCATGTGCGTACAGCCAAGTTCGGCGGTGGACCACCCACACTCACCCTCCTCGCTAGGCTCCTGAGGCTGAACCAGATGCTGCTCTCCAGGCGCGCGTCGATGAGCTCGAAGAGCTTATCCTTCAGGCCCGTCGTCGCCAATTTGAAGATGACCCGACTGCGGTGACGACTTTGATTCCGACCTCCAAGGTGAAGACGATCTCGATCTAGGAATTCAGCTCGACTACAATGTGCACCCCAACGTTATGCTCCCAGGAGAACTCACCGACCATCTGTGAGTTTCTCTCTTCCTTCATACCCTTGTTGTGCTAACTAGTTTGTTCAAGATTGGCTGTGTTCTGCTCACACATATTTCAATTCAGCTTTTACATGTCTGTGCAAGACTTCAAACGATCCGTCCACCTCCCTCCCTCCGATCCGGATAGTCTTCCCCCATGTCTGCACAGTGCCATCTTCCTTGTCGCATGCCATTTCTCTCCTCGTCCCCTCTCCGATCTCGAGGCTATATTCCTTCAACGCACACACCGCCTCCTCTCCCAGGCCACAGTCTCAGGCGATAGACCCATGGATATTTGCATGGCAGCTGTCCTCTTCTCTCGCTATTGTTTCTACACCAACCGTCCCGACCTTGGCGTGTGTTATACGTCCTGTTCGTTCTCCTTTCTCGGGCTCATCGCCTACTGCTCATCGCCTGTTCCTAGCCGCCCTTACTTTTGCGATAGGCTGCAGTCTCCATCAAGTATCTTTGCAGTCTTCCAAACTTAACCCGAACACAGGTCCTCTTCCGCCATCCCGCTCCGAGGAAGAAACTTTGCGGCGAATCAGGATGTGGAATTCTCTGTACATAGTTGCGTTTCTTTCCGCTCGCTTGAGCCATCCGTCACTCAATGTTTCACTAGTTGGATCGTGGTTCGTCATGGACCAATGGTTTAGCACCATATCTCTCAGATGAGGTACCATTTCCTGAAGGAATGTCCGATAGTCTGAGTGTCGATTTGATCCCATTCAAATGACAGGATATCACAACGCCTTGGTCAATTAACTCGTTGAGTTCAGGAAGTCGATTACAACAAATTCGCACTTCTCCCCCTTCTCCAACCATCACGTCACTTTTTGCTGCCGACTCTCCCACCCTGACTGTGCAGCGTGGGGATACCGCACTCTCCATTCGGGCCCGAAGTGTCGCGTTACACGACCGATCCAATCGATTTGTACGATCGGTTTCGTCTGGTGTGCCTTTCTTGTACCCTTTCCAGGCTTTATTCATCGTCCATACCGACGAATTAAATTCTCCTTTGATCTAGAAACTGTCTTTGACAGCACGTTCTGGGACACGTTCAATTCCATCGACTCACAACTGTCACAATTCTTCTATTCCTTACCGTGCCTCAAGACCGAGCCAAGTACTTGGGAGATTGATACATACGGGGAAGATGATGAAACTTTTCATTTAGAAGAGTCCGCAGAAGTGGAGGATATATTAGCCTCTCCGCCTCAACGACGACTGAGACATGGCTCACGCCAACACACCGTTGTTCTTGCACAAACCTGTACTCTGGCTGGTATCCTACAACTGCACAGTCTCTTTTCAAATCGCGATCCATTCCACCACCAGGTCATGCTGGATGCTGCGAATGACATGGTGAATGTGGTCCGCTTCGCCTCGGTCCAACCAAGCACAACGCACATACTCGTTATAGTAAGAATCAGTTTCATTCAATTTTTTCCCCCCTGGCTCCGCGGCCCCTAGCCACCTCGGCGTGGGATCTTCTTCTGAATTACCCGGCCTATTCAAAAGTTCGCCCATTGCTTATTTGGATCCCGAGCGCATGCATGCACCCACCTCGGCTGGGCATACGTGACGCCGATCCGTATCACTGTCTTTCATCCCCTCTCTTGCTCTTCAAGGCCTATCCTATCGTGAGTTGCTCACTTAGTGTCTCTTGGTATTTTAGATAGGCTGGACCATGGCCGCTCAAGTCTTGATCGGGGAACTGTTAGCAATTAAAGCAGTGGAACAAGGACGGCCGTCGGCAATAGCACGCCTCATAACAGCCTCATCACCATCTTCATCCACGCCTGCCCGCACATCCACGATACCCTCACGCGTGCTTCGGAGGAATCTGGATGACATCCTTTTCGGTTTGGGCAAAGTCCGGGATTTCTTTCCTCTCTCCAGTGCGTATTCGTCACGTCTCCTGTCACTCGATACCATAGTTGACTTTGAATCGCTATCCCGGGACCATGACATTGTTCATTCCAGAGCTCTATACCGACTATTTGAATCAAGGGCTAGGGCTGTTGTGAGATCATTTCGCCGTATTTGGGGGAATAACATCCGCGCCTTCTTTCGCTCACCTTCCATCCCTTCTATTCTTCCTGGGACCTAGTACCAGCCAGTGTGCTCTTCGGTCTTTCATTCCCTGTGTTTCATGGGCCGTGCTAATGTCTCACTTTTATTCCCATCTGACTTCCGACCTCCTTTCGTTTCTCAATGTGTCCCCGCTTTCGTGTGTTCGGGCATCTTCCCGTTTTTTTTCTTGCCCAAGTGAGGGGAGGCCGATGCTGCAATAATGGGGCTTATGATGACGTGTTGGATACACGGCTTAACATTATTTTTGGACACACTATCAGAATATCTACAATAGAAAATAATAGAGGCTTTCACATTGGGGGATTTCATGGTGGTGCCTAGCCGTGCACCGTCTCGGAGCTCGCCGGAGTATCAACATGGTTGATGCTTTGCTAGCATGGTCCTCAGCCAATCACATATGCATAGACCCTCGCCTGAGCATACGATCGCCTCATACAGGCTCGGATCCTGAAATCAGAAAGGCTGAGTCTGGCATCAGCGTGTTTGCGTTAGGTGTAATTCCAAATGCCACTGCAGGTAAATCGATATTATTCACGTCGCGCAGTTCTAATTTTCACTCATCTAATCTTGAGTAGTTGTTATGATACCCAAAGCGGCGGTGCTCTCCCCTCGCTCATGTTCTTACTCTAATGCCATTCTCGATGCTCTGGGACACGAGCTCTGGGTGCCAACTTTGGTGCTGAGCTTAGCCCTCTCTCTTGAACTGTATGCGTGTCCACATGTGCCCCCGTTATATTTATCTGGATTTTGTTCACTCACGCCTTGCGACTAGGCGACTCGGGCGTGATTCCAGGTGGTGGGGCTACCTTCAATCGCTCCCTCAAACACGAGTGGATCTCGCTGGATTTTGGCCTCTTGAAATGAACAATGATGATATTCAAGAGGCATTGCAAGTGGCTTCAAGGTACCGAGCTGATGAAGCACATAAAAGAAGAGGCATCTAGCACACTTGTGAGTGAGTCGAAGCTTAACACGAGACCCTGGGTATCGATAAATTCTGGCATGTCCTTATGAGATTCCAGCCGGCCATCTTCAAGTTCTATGAGGAATACGCTTCGCCTCTGTTCGATGCACTTGGTCTTGGAAGCCTGACTCTTTCAGACTTCATCACGCCTTTTCCCTTGTTTCGTCAAGAGCATTTCACGTCGATGCTTATCACAAAGTCGCGATGGTCCCCATCGCAGATGCGTACGTGCCGATTCCAGGAGTGTATTCCTCTGGTTTTGAGGTTCTCGACCTCTGTGTAGCTTCAATCATATCGAGGAGCACAATATTCATCTGGAGGTCAGTGAACCTCATCACTTCTCATACCGCGATCGTCATTTCTTTTTTTTCGTCATTGATTGAATGGCAAGTCGGGCACTTTTAAAATAGACGATTATCACGTCTGTTCCACTTGCGGATCTCTGGCTGAGTGCCCGCATGACTCCATTGAAGACAAAGGGAACGAGGATCGTCGTGGCTCGCACCCTCCGAGTGATGGCGGTCAACCGTCACTGACGACACACGTGGATGATGTTTGCGAGATGGTTACCAACAGTGCCATCCTTACGGGAGACGAAATTTTCAACTCGTACGACAGCCGTCTGAGCAATACCCAACTCATGATTCAGTATGGATTCATGCTGGAAGGGAATTCCAACGACCTGCTTAAATGGGACCTAGACGAAATCGATACTATCCTACATTACGGATCCGAAGACGAAGAAGAAGGGTGGTTCTCTCGCATGCGAATATGGGCCGCCATTGCCAATATGGAGCTTCCTCCGGTGGATGTGTCTCATCTTTTGTTCACAACTTCGCCTCCGGTCTCCTCGGCGCTTGGAGAAGATGGCCTGTTGCCCAGGGCCATACGAGGCCGGAAGGAAGCTCCTGTTTCACCCTCAAGGGATAATAACATCGACCCTCGCTTGTGCCTGAGTATCAATGCTGACGCACAAGTTTCCCAACAACTCTGGCTTTATCTGGCGATACAACGGCTTCCCCCTTGCGGCTGAGCTCACTATTACCCACGACCGGAGACGGCGACCTACTTCCTGAAGAGTTTTCTCGTGCTCATGAATATTTGCGCAACCTTGTAACATGCCTGGCTTCTGTCGGTGACCAATGCGAGGAGATACCATCGTTTGCAGGCATCTCCAACCGTGACCGTGAAGAATTGATGGAATTACTGGAGCCAGTGGCAGATGACGTCGTACGGCTTTGCGAAACTAGAATACGAAGTATGCACATGAGCCATCTCACCGTGGCTGAGCTTGGCGAAATGCTTGTATGTTCGACCGCTTGTTGCTTGCTGTCGATTAATCGAGTTTCATACGTGTGTTATAGAGCACCATGGGTGAAAGCGCTCATCAAAGAAGGACGCGAATGGCATTTTCAGTGGCGCTCGGTGAACGCATGATCCTGGAGAGCTGTTCTGGGGTGTGGAAGGGACTTGATAATGTTTGTAGTGATAGCTAGCTCGGCCACAGGCCAGGTTTTGTACAGTTTTTAGTAACAGGATGTGAAGCTCCTAGCAGTTGTAAGTTTAGGAGTCAAACTGGTGTTGATGACGGGTCGTGTATAGTCTAACGGCTATGATACCACTCTCTCATCTAGTGTGGTCAGTGGGGGCCGGGGTTCGACTCCCCGTACGCGAAACCTTTTGACGGTGATAATTTTCCGGCGTCGCTGTGGCGAGATTTTGGGGTACGCAATGCTAATACCTCCATGTCGCCACCATCCCCACTTTTTTGAGAATGTTTTGTCTTGTACTTCTATGATTTCGCATGATGGAACTTCAACACTTAATTTAGGGTCTGTCGGGAGCGGCTCAAGCGGAATCAAAAAGCAAAATGTCACTGAGGTGTATTGAACGATTTTCCAACCACGCACTACCTAGTATAGTATCTGAGCCCGAGTACTACTAATCGCAGTACCTTGGACTTCGAATTCTGTGCCGAGCCCGCATTCATATCCAAGTGGATTTTGCGCATCGTAAGTAATGTTCCATCGTAGGTGGTCATGGTTCACACAGGATTTCCTGCAGATCTACACATCCGCCTAGGCCAGATATACCTGACAATAGATTACGATCTTTGGTGTTTTCGCGTGAGCACATTCATTATAGTTCTTACTTTGCCATTTGGTCAAAGTGTTTAAATTGCCTTGTCGGTTCACATAGACGCAAACCTTGGCATGGCCTCCACGATTCGCAGTTTTCACAGATCTTCGATCTCGCTTGCACGCTCTGTGCCTTCAAAGGCCCATCACCACCAGCCTATAGATGACGCCCTTTTCCCTCACGGCTACCGAGCCCAAGGTATCTATGCGGGTGTAAAGAAAAACAAAGCATCCACGGTGTTAGAAGGCGGTGCGAAAGACCTGGCTCTCATCACTTCCACGACGGCCCGCACGTCTTCCGCCGGTTGTTTCACGAGGAACGTTTTCAAAGCCGCCCCAGTGCAAGTGTCTACGCAAGTCCTGCGCGAATCTAATGGGAGGGCGAACACCGTTGTCGTTGAACAGCGGGTGTGCGAATGCTGTGACGGGCAGCAAGGGCATGGCGGATGCATGGGAGATGGTGCAAGCAGCTGACGCGGCATTGACGAAACCTCTCACCGGGCATTCGACATTGGTGATGTCCACCGGTGTAATCGGGCAGCTTCTCCCTATATCACAGGTGTTGGATGGCATCAGGTCCGCGGCGACTTCGTCCGTGGCCCCTTCGACTGGACCGGGCACGCCGCGCTCGAACTTTGCAGACTGGGAGGCAGCGGCGCAAGCTTTTATGACAACGGACACGTTTCCGAAACTGCGCGCCCGATCCTTTGACCTCCCGGTTGGGGGGACGAGTGGCAATCGCTCCACGACTGTCCGGATCGCTGGCATAGACAAGGGAGCAGGCATGATTCATCCCAATATGGGGCCCCCGCATGCCACCCTTCTCGGGCTCATCGCTACGGACGCGGCAATTTCTCCACGCAGTCTGCAATCCGCCCTGACGTTTGCCGTTAGCCGGAGCTTCAATTCCATCAGCGTCGATGGGGATATGAGCACCAACGACACTATTCTAGCTCTTGCCAACGGGGCCGCCGATCCCGCTATGGAAGAAATCGACGAAGAAACCCACCCCGAGGCTTACGAGGTCTTCAAAGCTGAGCTGACAAGTTTTGCGATCGATTTGGCGAAATTAGTGGTGCATGATGGGGAAGGCGCTACCAAGTTTGTCACAATCACTGTCAAAGTGAATGAGTCTTTCTATCTCGAATTCTTCCCATCACCCCTTATTGAGAAGCATTGCAGGGCGCTCCCACCTACGAAGACGCTCATCATGTGGCTTCAAGTGTTTCGACCTCCTCTTTAGTCAAATGCGCATTATACGGCGAAGACGCAAAGTAACGCCTCCTACTTTCCATGTTCTGGTTATCACCCCTTCGATTGACCAGATTGCATTGTTGCAGCTGGGGCCGCATTCTCTGCGCCGTTGGCTACGCGCCACTTTCCACCAGCACCGTTCACGGACTCGCCGCCCAGGCGATGCAAATTGATCCCAACCTAGTATCGGTTTCCTTCATCCCATCTGACGGTTCTCTCCCCCTCGCCCTTCTCGTGAACGGGGAGCCTGAGAAAGTAGACGAAGAAAGGGCGAAACAGATCGTTAGCGCCGATGAAGTGACCATATTGATCGACCTGGGCGGTGTGGGAGACGCATCCGCAACCTACTGGACCTGCGATCTCAGCCATGTGAGTCTGCTTACAGCTGGTTGCGATCCCTGTTTGCTCATCTCGCATCTTCCTACCTTCCCCAGGAATACGTGACGATCAATGGCGACTATAGGACTTAGAGGAGCATTTTCGTGAAGTAAAAATGCATATTCCCGCTACTAGGTAGCGGGTCTTGGCGGCCAAGATTCCCAGGCTTCCTATAAAATAGAGAAAAGTGTGCGTCCACCCACGTCATAGTACTGCATTCTAGGACCCTCGGGTTTTCCGTCATCTCTTCGTTATGCTGCGCCTTGCTCTTTTCTTTCAGATTTACTGTATCTTTCCGTTTTCGGACCCCTTTTCTACTATTATTGGTCCTGTGGCATCCTGAAAAATTCAACATCGGCCCCTCGCCGACAAACAAACCATTCATCGTGGCATACTGTAATCGGATGAATAATCCACGAGAAAGGGGAGGCGGAGAGACGGGGATAAGGTAGGAGGTGGAGAGGAGAGGGAAGTGGGAATTGAGATCCAATTGACAACAAGCGGAAAGTCAAAGATTCTAACGACGCCTTTTAGCAGGACCTCTGCTCGCAGCCAGAGTCTTCCGCTTCTTTGGCTCAGGTTCCAGCAACATTCCAATCAAAGCCTCGTCTTCACCCTCGGTCTCGACGGCAGGCTCAGCCTCGACGGCGGGTTCGGCCTCGACGGCGGGCTCGCCTCGACGGCGGCTCGGCCTCGACGGCAGGCTCGGCCTCGACAGCAGACTCGTGCCCGTCGGAAACTTGATCGACGTACTCAGATCCCCGATCCTCTTCCAATTCCCTATCCATTTCCAAATCCCCATCCTCTTCAGGCCCATCCGCATCTGCCGATCCTTCCCTATTGTCAAGGAGAGTTGTTAGGTCGATCATTTTCCGCTTCACGCTCGATCCCGGCACCGGGAATGGTTTCGGGTCTGACTTTGGAAGTAGGGATATCAAGTCCACCCCCAAATCACAAACCCTGTCCAACACGTCTTCCCGAAAAAGTTGTTCAAGGAATGTCTGCACAACAGAAAGTCTGTCCTCCCCGACGTATTCTCTGACCACACGTGATTGAACGAGACTCTGGACGAGCTCCTTTTCTTTCGAGAATGAAACCCCCATGGGAGGCAATGAATCAACAGACTCCCTTTTTGGAAGGTCCCTCGGTACAGGCGGTGTTCCTGACACGGGATTCTTTGGTGGCCCAGACTGAGAGTTGGGGTTTGGTCCTAACCCAATTGCTACATTCAATGTTCTCAAAAAAAAAGGGGGGGAGGGGAAGGGGTGAAAAGCTCACCTGCAGTCTTTCTTACTATTTTCAATGCCTTGCCCTTGAGTTTTTCGCCTTGTGTCCGGGCAACTGACTCTTCACGCCTCAACTTCTCCATATCAGCCTGTTTGGATTGCACCTTAGCTCGGAGGGAAGCCAGCTCCTTTGCGGCCTTTTCTGCCAATTTCCCTGTCGCAGATGCCTTTTTTGATGTCGCGACCGACCTCTCACCCAGCGAGATCACCTGTCGTTCTTCCTCGACGAAAAAACGAGGTTCTTTCTCATAGACAACTATCCCACTTGCCAGATGATATTTCCCTTCGTCGAATTGATTGGCCACCAAGATTTTCGCGAGAGTCCACCAGTAGTAATTCATTTTTACCTGGTATGACATTGCTTCCAGAACCGTCTTGAATTTAGCCAGCGGTGTCATGAACGGACTCGCGGTTGTCCTCGTCAACTGGTCCTTTTTGCCATCATCTTGAGATTTCGGCCACACATCATGAAGAATGAGACCTAGGTCTGAGAGGTGTTTGGCACAGAACCAAATCACCTAAATAGAATAGCTCCTAAGCATCAATAGCACACGACGGCCTTTCCAACTTACGTCATCCACTGAAAACGCCGCATCTTCAAAACACCTCTCCAGAACAGCATAGATGTCGTCTGTGGGGTGCAGCATCGGAGGTTTGGCACACCAAATCAACAAGACCTAGGATGAGAACCAAAGTAAGATATGCTGGAAGTCTAGATAGTGGGAAAAGAAAGATGACGGACTGCTTGCAACAACCGTTTCATGTTGAGAACCCATGTGTTCAGAGGCGATGAAGGGCTTGTCAGCAAAAATTTACTCCACATCTAATGAAATCCATGTGAGAAAGAGCAAAGGTTTATATGAAGAGGATTTTACCCAAGGTATAACTGCCTCTTGGTCCCCCTTCGAGTGCAACAAAGATTCATAATTCAAATCCCTTGTGACTAAACACTCCCATCTTGCCTTGAAATCAAGCAAATGAGGGCAAAACTGACCCCAAAGACCAGCCCCAGTATTCTTCACAGAATCAGCAAGGCTCTGGAAATCATCCTTTTTGTACAGCCGTGGCGGTTGACTGCAAAAGATAGTAGCATTTGTAATATTTTTCCTCAAAACATCATCACCACGGGTCATGCGGGACCAACCATGGGTGGCTTCCTGAATCACCCCGGCCCAGAGCTGATGCAAGCAGTTAGACTCCGAGTGGAAATGAGCTTGAGCACCTTAACTTACAGTGCCACAATGCGCCCCTGTCCACAAACAGGTATGGGACCATACAAAATCCATAATGGGAACCTGGAGGAGACGATCGATTGCGGGCCGCAGGCGTGAATTATTCAGTGCCTTGATGACCGCCTTCTGGTTAGATGCGCCTGAAATGACCGTACGAATGTATCTTTCCGCTACTGCAGATCCCTCGGTGACTTGAAGAGCTGATGCCGATGCCCACAATTGCCCTGGATCATTTTCGAGCATGGGAGGCGCGATATTAAAAGAATCGATGAAAATTTTGAAGACGGATGCCGATCGAGTCTCGAACTCTATGTAACATTAGGTCTATAAGTGAAGAATGAAGCATAAGGCTCACCCCTTGAATATACAATAGCGGGCCACTCCGCG